GGACTAAAACTGGTAGTTGGTTCCACAGGAGAGGAGCCTGATAACTAAAAGATCTACCACCCTTTATACTTTGGGTGCAATGAAGCCTGAAATGCCATTTTTCATTCTCATATTTGCTCATATCAGCTTTTTCTCCACAGCGACTTAGACATCTACTTTGTTGATGTCTTCACGGTGTATTAGAATCAAAACTTGGTTTTTATGTTGAATTTATAAACCATTTTGATAAATCTAATTTGTGGAAAGTAGTTCTTTTGTCATTAGGTTAGAATCTGAACCCTTTGTTCATCCCAGTACTAAGGCTCTGCCTTTGGAGACAGTTAACTTTCGTTTAACAAACACAATCTGAGTCAGGCTTCCCGCGGATCCTTAAAAAGTCTTAAAATCCATTGAATTTTTCAGTGAAAAACTAACGCTGTCTGTCACAGGTCTTTAAATTGTTACTGCATCATAAATAGAATTTTTTTTGAAATCCATACCAAACATTGAAATAATGAAATGATTATATTTTTACATTTACCGAATGGCTTGCTTCACTGCAAAAGCAATCTAGAAATAAGTAAAAATGCTTTATATCAAGTGTATTTACCCTTAATTTAAGTAGGTAAATAATATGACTTGCCAATGGATTGAGTATTTTTACTCCAAAATTAAGGTAATTAGATAATATGCAATTAAACTAAGACAAGTTTTTTATTATATTTTACATGTAAATTGTCTTGTTACCTTGGCAAAGTGTCTCACTTCCCTCCTCAATTCAAGAAAAAATTCACCTATTTTAAGAACAAAAATGACACATTCAGATTTCAATTTATTTGCAGTGTGTAACCATTATTGCTTCTGTCCTGATAGCGGAAGCAATAAAAACGATGTTGTAGCCAGACTTGGGGTAACGCGCCACTAACTTTTATCTTGGGAAACATCAACATGGGGAAGTGTAGAATTAACGAAATCCAGTTTTCTGCATGGTGAAACCCAGAGCCAGGAAATGTAGATGAGGCACTATGGGAATCAAGGCAGTGACTCACACATGCAAAGTTTCAAAACTAAGTTAGTGAGAAGCAGCAGGTATTTCTCCGTTCTGTTCGACCCTTGTCTCTGAAATGCCTCCACTGCACCTCCCCCATCAACAACAGCGCCAATAGAACCAAATCTCTGGATAATGTTTGGCCGTATGCCTAAAATGAAAGCACAAAGTTTGTGAATTCAGTTCACTTGTTGATAAAAATAGATTTGTTATTTGTGTGTTTTTAGCTTTCTTTCTATATGCAAAGCTTTTCAGTTTCAGTTCAGTTCAATTCAATCCAGCAATTCAGTTTTTTTATATTGCGCCAATTTCAAAACAAATGTCATCTCTAGGCCCTTTATTGAGACAATTCAACCAGATCATACAGTCAAATTGATTAAAACACTTCTATCTAAGGAAAACCAGTTGATTGTTTAGACTCATTGACCTGAAGGCAATCCCTCACACTAAACATGCATGCAACGACAGTGGAGAGGAAAAACTCCCTTTTAACAGTAAAAAAAAAAAAAAACCTCCCGCAAAACCAGGCTTAGGCCCATCTGCTGAGGCCGACTGGGGTTCAAAGAGAAAGAAGCAGACATAAAGAAAGAAGCAGAGATACAAAAAGAACTTTTCAACCAGCTCCATGGGCGGCCCCGTCCAGGAAACACCGCAGGTAGATGAGCTCCTAGCCAGCTCCCATGTCAGAGGATGAAGAGAGCACATCTTACCCATAACCGTCCACTGGAACCCTGATAGTTTAGCCTGAAGCAGCAGAGATTATGTCAAATGCCTGTTTTTACTTTGGTTTGGGTCTACTTCACCAAGGATCCCAGATAATTAGTTTTTTTGGTGTGATGGTTGTCGATCCAGAGTCTTGGTTCCCACACTCAATTCAAACTATGCCATGGAAATCATTTCAATTCAGGTTTGGAAATGACATTTGGTTTCAATCCTATTATGGTCTGTATGGGATTTTTGTAGATGCTGATGGCTGTAGGCAGGACGGATTAGCAGCGGGGCTCTGTCTTTCAGTGGTTGTGGGAAAGCTTATGACCAAAACACTTGTTTAATAACAGTCACACTGGGTTAAAAACTTGATTTTGGACATTTTTCATTCTCAAATCTACATTTGTGAAAAAAAAAAACAAAAAAACAATGAAAACGTTTTTTACCTACAGTAGCTCCATGGTCTCCGCTAATTGTTGTGATAAAACCAGAGAAATTTATACATTTGAAGACTGATGAATCTTCTTTTTGATTAAATTTTTCTACTGACTGAATGTTGGAAGCAGAATGTTCATGTTTTGGATGAAAATGGCTCTAAGCTGACTGTTTGTCTTGCAGCTGAGATCTCTTCATCAGACTCTGGGGGCTGATGGGACATTGAGTCATCTTAGCCTCTACACTTCACCCTCCCTACCCAATATCTCCTTAGGCCTTCCAGCCAACACACACATCACAGTAAGTCATTGCTTAAATGTATTAAACCTCCACATTTTATGTTTTTGCTTGGTGGTATTAGTCCTGCAGATAATGAGATTTTTTTCTTATAGCAACATTTCCATAAGATTTTTTTGTAGAGCAGAGAAGTTAGGAATACCAGTCTTTTCAAAGGGATTTTCAAGGCCCATGCCAACACCCATTATTTTGACATCAGTGTAACCAATCACCGATATGTGCTGCCATTTTTGGGCAGATTCTTTAGATCGACCTTGCTTTAAACAAAAAGAAACTTATATGTGTATATATGTACATATATATGTGTATGTATATATGTACATATATGTGTAAATATACATATATGTGTATATATACATATATATGTACCTGTATAAACAGTAATATAGAAATTATAAAAATGTAAGAGTGGCTGTGCTTTGATCGTGAGTAGTTTGTCTCTCCACCTGGGAGAGGAAAATAAAATAGTTTTGAAGATCATTTATATATTAAGGCCATTTTCTTTCATATAAGAACAATGTATATACCAGTTTTTTATTGTAGACGTCACCTGATAGATTTCTGTGTTTGTGATACATTGTTGATTAGCTGGCTGACATTTAACAGGCACCTCCTTTCTAGCGTATTGGTTACTTAAGCTTTATTTAGTTTTCTTTTTTATAACTGGTCCTTAATTTAACATCAAAGACACCTTCCATTCACAGGCACCTCAGAAGCTGACCAATCAGCAGGAGGCAGAACGTCAGGCCATCCAGTCCTTACGAGGGGGCGGAGCTCTTACGGGAAAGTTCCTCTCAACTTCTTCCATACCTGCAGGTAAGATTAATGCACCATTTAAAGATTTGATTAGCATCTACAGTGCTTTAAAAAAAGCCCCCTGAACTGCCGTTTTTGTGAATATTTTGGTAAGCTGATAAGTTCTAAACCCTGCGATTTAATCAAACAGTTTAAGTTGTATCTGCGTGCAAAGATTGAAAATTTCGCACAATGTATGCTCGGCTTAAGGTGTAATAGACGACTAATTCAACAGAGCAGATTATCAAACATAGTTATATTTATATATTATATATAAATATTATATATATATATATATAATATATTTATATTTACATGAAATATATTGCTGCTTAAAGTTGCAGGTAATACAGGCAAGAGAAGAAGAAAGGCTTAGTAGATAGAGTGCGACTCATTTTGCTATAAAAATATGATATTATTAAGTTAGATTGTCAATTATGGAGCTTCTAGCTAAAAACAGATCAGAACTGAGGACAAAAGCACGTCATACTTTTCACATTTACATTATTTGTAAATTATCTTAAAAGCCATTTATCATTTTCAAGCTGCAGTTGGTAAAACAATCTCCTAGTTTGTCTTTGTGCTTAAAGTTTGTCTGCTCTCTCTGTGCATCTTGGATTCTTTTTGGAAACTGTGTCTTACATCCACAGTCTAAAACAATCAGTTTGGGTTAAATGTTCTCTGTCATAAACTCCCTGATGTTTGAGTATGTATGCACATAATGAGCCTGGTTGTTGCTCAGTTTTTAACTGGTTACATATTAATTCCGTATTCTTTTTTATTTTTTTAGTAACAGTGTCCTGTCTGGCAATGTGGCAATAAGAATAATTGTCTTGATGCCAAAAAGAGCCCAACAGATTTTACTTTCACAAGTGGAGCAGTACGGCTATCGCCATAGTGTTCAGCTTGTTTTATACATATAAATTGCTTTATTATTATTATGCAGGGAGTTTTACAGATTATTTGGACAACGCGATGTAAGTAGAACGGGAAAGGAAAAACAGACAAAAAAGGAGAAAAGATGAAAGAAAGAGGAAATAAAAGGGAGATAGTGATAAAACATTTCCAGTCTGCTTCATCACCTGCAAAGAGATGTAAAAATAACGGCACAACCAAAGGACATGGTACAAGGCATACAATTAAGTAACACCTTGATACTATCGCTGAAATATAAGTGGTATTATTTAATCTGACATGTATTCTGTGTTACCTGAAGATAAGAATATGGGCTTTCTGTATGGAAGTGAATCTCTAAGAACCGGGAACCAAGCACCTGTAGTTGTTTGTGAGAGTGCACTTGTGCATGTAAAGTTTATCCAATGAAAAAACGCTCAATAGTGGTTGTGAAGAGCAGAAGAGGTACCCCCCCAGAGCACTTAGTCCAGTGCCGGGGGCCCAAAGCCCCAGACGCCCACAGGGACCCCAAGAGAGAAGGCGCCAAGGAGGGGCCAACCCAGGAGATCCGACCCCTACCAAGGGAGGAGGAGAGACAGCCCTGAGGAAGTCCCCCAGCCGCCGCAATGCCGGAACCCCCGGGAGCCGCAGCGACGAGTCCACAGGCTCCACCAGCAGCCAGCAACCCCGAAGTGAATCCGGCCATGGGCCCCAGGGATCCGAGGCCCCAGGGGTGCCCCACCCGCCGGCGAGAGCCCCTTCCGGTCCCTGGCCGGCCAGGCCCTGTGGAAAAGCCACCAGGAATAAGCCAGTAGCCACCCGGGCATCCACCCCCAAACCCCAAGCTCCACCAGTGTACCTGCAAGCCCAGGCGCCAGCCAGCAGAGAGAGAACAGGATGGGGGAAATGGGCTCCGCACTTGGCGTAGACTGGAGATGTGCTTGGGAGAGGGAGCAGTTCAGACCCCAACCTGAAAAAAAAAAAAAAAAAAAAAACTCACAGTCTTAATCATGCCTTCCCACCTTAGTGCCCCCCACTCACACCACACAGACTCTGTAGAGATGAGCCAAAAATACGCGGATGCACCTTCACACATAACACTCACATCCAATAATCCCAGGACCAAGGACCCGGCGGCACCGGTGGTTGGTCCTCGGATTATCGGATGACCTAATAAGTGAACCTAAAATCCGGACACTAAGCAAGCTTGTGGAGAGGAAAAACTCCCTTTTAACAGAAAGAAACCTCCAGCAGAACCAGGCTCAGTGTGAGCGGCCATCTGCCAAGGCCAAGTGGGGTTAAAGGAGACAGAAGCAGAGAAACAAAAGGCAACCAGCTCCACAGGTAGCCCCGTCCAGGAAACACACAGCCAGGCAGACGAGCTCTGAGCCAGCTCCCATGTCAGAGGATGAGAAACAGGCCAAGCTCCAACATCTATCTACAAAAGGTAACTGTAAACCAGCTCTACAGGCAACCCCATCCAGGAAACACAGAGCTAGGCAGACGAGTTCCGAGCCAGCTCCCATGTCAGAGGATGAAGAAGGCAAATCCAGGTCATTACTTTCAGACAATCCTCACGACTTCTGACACCATGTCGTGTTAGCAGTTTTCAAAGGAATTCAGGCCACTCTTTGTAGAAAAACTTCGTCTCCTTTTATTTAGCTTCTCGCTACCCCCACCCGGAAGTACCTAAGTCCTTCCTGTTAGCCCTTAACAATAAAACAAAACTGTTTATAAGAAATTACACCACATCCCCCTTTCTTAGAAAACAATGCACTATGTGAACACTCACACAAATCAACTTTATAACATCAAATTTCTTCTCTTCTGTTATATGCGCTGAACTTCTTTTGTTTCTCTTGATCTTGTTCTGACAGGAGCTATGGAAACTGTCCTTGACTTCTGACTTTCATTCTCAGACTGGTTTGGTGTGGACGAGGTGTCCTTTGTAGGACTTGTTGGTGTACTGGGTAATTGTTCCTTTGGTGTGACGTAAATAGTGGCAATAGGTGATGTCTGTTCCTCCTGATGGCACCAGAAGGGCTCCCCACCACATATTAACGGGGCTTGGAGTGACGTGAGATGACAATCCCTTTGATTTTGGTGTCTCTCACCCGATGTCTGCTGTTGAATACTTAGCTGACCTTTGTTCTCCCCTCTCTCACTCTCTTTCTCTCTCTCTCTCTCTCTCTCTCTCTCTCTCGACTCCACCGCATTCTTGTCTGGCAAACTGGGAAAGGGCAAGGAGGGAAGTTTTGGTACAGCGGTGCGAAGTCTCCGTCCCATTAGTAATTGAGCTGGGCTATATCCATTTGCCAATGTGGTTGCACGATAGGTCAAAAGTGCAAGATAGGGGTCTTTTGCTTTTTTTTAATAGCCTTTTTACAGTTTGGACATGCCGTTCAGCCTTGCCGTTACTTTGAGCAAACCTTGGGCTGCTGGTTATATATCTGAACCCATAGGCTGCTGAAAAGTCTTTGAACTGCTGGCTAGAGAACTGAGGACCGTTGTCACTGTAGAAAAGCTCTGGAATTCCATGTCTGGAAAAGATCGACTTCAGGTGCACGATGACATCCTCTGATCTCGTAGGAGAGAGATTAGCTATCTCCACAAACCTGGAGTAGTAGTCCACCAGAAGTAAATAATTACAGCCATTTAAGGTGAAAAGATCTGCTCCGACTTTCTGCCAGGGTCTCTCTGGGAGCTCACTAGGCATTAAAGGCTCCACAGGGTTGGCATGGTCTTTTATGCATACAGAGCAGTTTTTCACAAGTTCGTTGATTTGACCACTCAGACCAGGCCACCACACTGTCTCTCTGGCGCGTTCTCTGCATCTGGACATTCCCTGATGTCCCTCATGTAGGGCGACAAGGACAGAATTGCGCATGGTGGTTGGAATAACAAGTCTGGTGGCTTTCAATAACAGTCCATCCAGTACAGTTAGAGTCTCTATGTGACCAATATGTTTTTATAGGGCCAGAAAGAAAGCTGTAGTCTGGCCAATCTTTCTGAAAATATGAGATAACCTCATATATAACTGTCTGTTATAAGCTCTTCTTTCAGCTGTGTGATGTATGCTGAGCTAGCAGGTAGGCTTCTGATGATTTCCTCCAAATAAATGTTAGCTCTAGGATCTGGATCTTGGTTAAAGGGTGCGTGTGAAAATGTGTCTGCTGTAAGGAGAGCTTTACCTGGAGTGTGGGTGATAGAGTAGCTATACCTCATAAGCCTAAGTCAAAACCGCTGGATCCTGGGAGGAAGCTCTGTAAGTGCTTGTTGTCCTAGCAGGCTGATAAGTGGCTTATGGTCCGTTTCTAAGGAGAACTGTCTCCCAATAAGAAAGTCTTTAAATCTTTCACATCTCCACGTTAGCTCAAGCACCTGCTTCTCCACCTGCACCCATCTCTGTTCAGTTTCTGTTAGGGAGGGTGATGCGTATGCTACAGGTCTCCACTTCTCCCCCTCCTTTTGAAATAGAACGGCTCCCAGACCATAGGATGAGGCATCTGCTGACAGTTTCAACTCTTTATTTGGGTCATAAAGTCTGAGGACTGGTGTTGACGTCAGATCATTTTACAGTTGATTGAACGCTTTTTGTTGTGCACAGCTCTAAACCCATAGATTTTTCTTTGACAGGAGATCACACAGGGGCTTATCTTTGTCTGCCAGTCCTGGAATGAATCTGCCCAAATTATTAACCATCCCAAGGAGACTGCGAAGTTCACTGACATTAGTTCGTTCCTCCATTTCTTTTACAGCTTTTGTTTTGTCTGGGTCGGGTCGAACTTCATCTGCAGGGAAGATGTGTCCTACGAATTTTACTTCCTGTTTGTTCAGTTATCCATGTTTAACGTGACTCCAGCCTCTTGCACCTTTTTAAGCACGGATTGTTCCCAAATCAGAATGTCGTCCATGTGACAAACCACACCTTGCAGTCCATTTAGGATTACTGACATTCTACACTGAAAATGTTCTGGGGCTGAGGGAATCCCAAAAGGAAGTCTGTTGAAATGGTAGCGTCCAAAAGGCGTGATAAATGTTGTGTAGATGGCTAACTCTGATGACAGTGGAACCTTTCAAAAATCTCTGTTTGCATCGAGCTTACATAAAACTTTTGCTCCAGTCAGGGATCCAAGTGTTTGTTCAACCAAGGGCAGGATGTATTTTTCCCTGCACACCGCTTCATTAAGATGAGTGAGGTCCACACAAATGCGCACTGATCCATTTTTAGTTGGCACTGGGACCATACCTGAACACCATTCCATTGGCTCTTCAACTCTGCTGATGACTCCCATTGACTCCATCTTCCCCAGTTCCTGTTTCACTCTTCCTGACAAAGGGATGGGGACTCGTCTGGGTGTGGCCAGCGAAAAAGGTACAGCATCAGGTTTCAACTTAATGGTGTACGGTTGCTGTATTGCCCCTAAACCCTGACACAATTTGGGGTAGTTGTCCTTTAACGCCTTGATGTCTATGCTATCTGCTCTGGACACAAGGTGTAACTTAACATTTACTGGTCTGCTTAACAGAGCTTCATGTAAATCTTGTATAACATACATGTTTTCTTGTATTACATGTTCCCCTCTACACAAAGTTTCCATAAACATACCCACCACATTAAGTGGAGTGACACCTGGTCAAAACAAAGTTCTATCTGGTTTACACAGCTCTCTCGTTTTTGGGTTGGTGCGGAAGTGTGTCTGGGATGGAATAACTGATACATCAGCTCCAGTGTCTATCTTACATCTAACTTTGTGATTTCAGATAGTAATGTCTGCATACCAGGGGTCAGACCCAGAACCAAGGAACATGAGCGTGTCATTACAGCCATCAGTTTCTATCACATGCACCGATTTTACAGATTTACACACTTTACTGTAATGTCCTCTTTTACCACATGTATGACAATTCACATCTTTTGCTGGGCATTGTCCTTTTCCATGAGCTACCACACCTGTAGCATGATCTCTCACTTGGTGTTCTTGCTTTTGTGGTGTACTTTGGTTGAATTTGGGGTTTGTAGGAAGGATGTTTCTGCTTTTTGTGTTTTGCCGAAACAGCGTCCATTTCCACTTTATTTTCCTCCCTGATGTCTGTCTGTTGCCTTTTTATGATTTCAGACTGCCGGGCTTTATTCACTGCTTTCTCAAGCGTCAAATCCTTATCCATTTGAAGTCTCTCCGCCAGGCTGGTGTCTCTCAATCCCACAACGAGGCGATCTCTTATTTACTCATCGTGCACTGTAGTTGCAGTTTTCAGCCAAGGCATAAAGCGCAGTGACAAACGAGTGAACAGTCTCATTAACCTGCTGCACTCTCTGGTTAAATCTGACTCTCTCATAAATAATATTTTTTCTGGGCACAAAATATGCATCCAAAATGTCTCTCACCGCTTGGTATTGGTGTCTTTGGGCATCTGATAATACCTGGCCTCGCAGAATGTCGCTGCTTCATCTCCCCTACAATATATGAGTGTCTTCACTTGATTAGCCTCGGAGCTAAGATGTAGGTTGCTAGCCAGTCTGAATCTTTCAAACCTGCGTATCCACTTTTCCCATTGCTGTGGCTTTGCGAAATCAAATGCTTCTGGAGGCTGAATGGTGAAAGTCACTCTCCGATAATATTACTTTCAGGCAATCCTCCCCACCTCTTACACCATGTCGTGCTCGCGGTTTTCAAAGGAATTCAGGCCACTCTTCATAGAACAACTATGTCTCTTTTATTTAGCTTCTCGCTACCACCACCCAGAAGTACCTAAGTGCTTCCTGTCGGCCCTTCACAATAAAACAAACCTTTTTATAACAAATTACACCACATAGATGACAGCAGCAAAGCTGATATTTCTCTCCAGGATAGAGTCACAGTCAAACAGGAACAGACGAGGCCAAGCTACTAGGCTAGAGTTCAGTTTCTTGTAATGTAACAAAATCTCAAAACATTCCAGGGATACTTTTGGTGGACAGGTGTCTTTTGATTCCTTTACAGGTGCTGCTCATGATGTGGAGACTCCGCCCCCCAACTCTCATTCAGCCCATTCCTCATTGCTGCAACATGTCCTGCTGCTGGAGCAGGCCCGACAACAAACAGCTATGCTCGGTAAAACAAATAAAAAACTACCCTAACATTGCCACAATAACAATACAGTCATTACTGAGTACTGTTCCATCCAATCAGGGCCCATGTACAATCAATCACCACTGGTTACTGCAGAAAGAGGCGTCAGCACTGGAATGCGGCCCATCACCAAGCTGCCCCGGCATCGACCATTGGCTCGCACACAAAGTGCTCCTTTACCCCAGTCACCCCAGGCCCTGCAGCAGCTGGTAGTCCAACAGCAGCACCAGCACTTCCTTGAGAAACACTACAAGGTATAACCAGTTCACAATCTTCCTCAGCTGTCATAGGTCTGTACAGTAACACAGCATTTGGTATGTAGATGTTATCAAAAGGGGGGGACCTCCCTAGACCACCACCCACTCACCCTGAGGAGATAGAGGAGGAGCTAACAGAGAACAATGACATGCAGGAAGACGAAGGGGCGGGGCAACACAGGTTTAGCAAAAGCTCTTTTCTTCCAAACATAAATCCAGGTTACAGATGTTTCTGTTCAAATTAGAAAACTCTGATGTGTTTTTTTCTGTTGTTCAGGCTGCAGAAGGAGGGATCAGATGACAGCAGCCATTCATCTGAGCGAATAGGTGTGCACATAAAGGGGGAGGAGGAGCCCAGGATAATGCATGTAAAAGGCGACAGCACGGAGAGTGAGCTGGATGAAGATGAGGAAGATGATGATGTCATCCAGCTAAGAGAGAGCGAGGAAGAGGAAAGGGGCAGCTACATGCAGGTTGGTGTGAAAATACTGCCTTTCTAAAAGATCTAAACTATTCTTTACAAACACCTGGATATTCAGGATTTGAAACAATCTGGAAAATTTCTGGAAAAATTCGCCCCCCGGCTCCATCACATTTCAAGTCAGATGCTTGGATGCATTTTGGCTTTAAAAACAAAGAAGGTAATAACAACATTGATATGATGCAGGTAATTTGCAAAAGGGGAAATGTCATACATTTGAATGTTTTCATTTCATTGGTTTAAAGGACCACTGAGGCCATGTAAACGGCACTGATTATCCTAATTTTGTTATTTTAAGTTTGATGAATCCTAAGATCTTTTTGTCAGTGTGTCCACGCCAGTAATAGTAATATTTGTGTCCAGTATTTGTTTTCATGGCAACACCTTCAAAAGTCGTTTCAATAAATACAGCTATGTATGAATTCAGTTGCTTTCAGTTATGTATCAATGGAAGACACGATCCAGATC